AGGAAGGAAGAAAGAAGTGGTCTCTAGAGTCAGAGCTCAGCTCAGCAGGGAGCTGGGGACCTGCCTTTGGAGCTGGGCCACACATAAATACACATTTGTTTTTTTTTCTAGGCAGGGTTTCTCTGTGTAGCTCTGGCTGTCTGGAACTTACTCAGACCAGGTTGGCCTCGAACTCTCTCGAGTGCTGGGACTGAAGGTGAGTGCCACTGCTAGCCAGCCAGCATCAGTTTTTTTCCCTTTTTTTTTGTTTTTAAAGATTTATTTATTTATTATATATGAATACACTGTCGCTGTCTTCAGACACACCAGAAGAGGGCATTGGATCCCATTACAGATGGCTGTGAGCCACCATGTGGTTGCTGGGAATTGAACTCAGGACCTCTGGAAGAGCAGTCAGTGCTCTTAACCACTGAGCCATCTCTCCAGACCCCAGCATCAGTTTTTAAAAATTATATGTCATACATTTATTTTGTGTGTGGGTCATGCACCCCTGCCATATGCAGAGGTCAGAGGTCAACTTGGGAGCATCCCAGGTCTCAGGGCAGAGTTCAGGCGTCAGGCTGGGTGGCAAGTGCCTCACAGTTGGGGACAGACTCTCCACTGCCCACATCTGAGCAGGATCTAGCTAAGTAGCACTAATCAGCCTGCAGCTTGTCATCCTCCTGCCTCAGCGTTCTTCAATGGGATACCAGTATGGTCTACTTGGCTTGGCTGCCTGTGAATAAAGTTTTTCCTGAGACAGTGTCACTATGTCATGCAGGTTGCCCTTAGACCTTGACATAGACTCCTGTGATCTGAAGAGCAGGACAAGTTCATCTCCTCCGTACCTGGCTGGGTTCAGCTGCTAGTGTGGTAAGACTATGCCTAGGTCACGAGGGGCCCTGCCTCAGAAACTGGTTGGAAAATATTCTGACTCTGGTTTCTGAAAGACTTGTGGGGGGAGGGTGAGTTCCCGGGGACTCATCATAGATCTACTTAGTTTTTGTGGTTAGTGCAGCTGGGAAAGAACCTGAGGAGCTCCGTCCCCAGCCCGTCACTGAGGAAGTCTAGTTGGTGGCACCACCTCTGACCACTCCCCCAGGTCCTCACTGGGGGATTTTAGGTGGGGCTCCATCCTGACCATGCCCCCAGGCCCTCACTCAGGTTTTCTAGTTTGGGTCTACACTTCTTCTTTTTTTTTTTTTTTTTTTTTTGGTTTTTCGAGACAGGGTTTCTCTGTGTAGCCCTGGCTGTCCTGGAACTCACTCTGTAGACCAGGCTGGCCTCGAACTCAGAAATCTGCCTGCCTCTGCCTCCCAAGTGCTGGGATTAAAGGCGTGGCGCCACCACCGCCCAGCTGGGTCTACGCTTCTGTAGGTGTGGATTGTGCATGTCTTTGAAGGCTGCAGTTGGGGACGAGTGATCCATGGATGTGCTTGAATCACAAGCCTATTTTGACAGCAGTAGCCAGGGAGGCACTAGATGGAAGGGGAGTGTGGGTGGATCCCCAAGTGGTTGTGGATCTGGTTTCCACCACTGAGTTCACGTCCAGGACACAGGACAACTTGTGGAAGTCAGTCCTCTCCTGCACCATGTGGGTCCTGAGGATGGAAGTCAGGTTATCAGACTTGGCAGGTAGTGCCTTTAACCACTGGGCCACCTGGCCAGCCAGTTTTTGTTTTTGATACTGGGTTTGAATATACAGTCCAGACTGACCATGAATTGGTAATCCTCCTGCCTCAGTGGTCCCATAATTGTGGGGTCACAGACATGCACTACTCAGTCTGTCTCGACTTGTCTGTCCTTCCCAGTCACAGTGCTGCCCAGCATGGGAATGTTGGTGGCTACAGGGCCCCGTGCTCTCTCTGCTGCTCAGGGTGAGTCCTGCTGGGTACTGGGAGAGGGACACAAGCTTGCTGAGGGGGCTAAAGCTCACCTCAAGTCTTCTATTGTGTGAGAGACCTGGGTCACCCCATGCCCCCAGAGGGACAGCTGGAGAGCCCACGGGGAGTGTGGAGGTAACTGGGCCTCTGGAAGCTGCAGGGAGACCCAGAGCTGCAGGCTGGGAAGTGGGGCTGCATTCCCTGGTGCATCCTAACTCGCTCCTTTGGAGGGGGAAGCATTCCCCAGTAGCCAACCGTGACTGGATTTTTCCTGGAGGAACCCACTTCTCACAGCCAGCCTGGGTCAAGCCTCATGTGTCCAGTTCACTGAGCAGAGAGAGCGACCCCTCTCTGTTGCAGGTAGGTTAGGGTTTAGGTGGCAGAAGGTCCTATTCTATGAAGAACCATCTGGGTCCTCCCAGGCCTGCGCCAGGGCTGGAACAAGGGTTCCCTCTGCCTGTCTGGGGTGCACCTGTGGTGTGACAGACATCTCTTTTCCCATTGTCCTGGCTAGAGTCTGTCCCGCTTGCTTCCTCTCCCCCTCCCCCTCCCCCTCATTCCCTGTAGCCAAAGATGACCTTAAACTTGTAACGTCCTGTTTCATCCCCACTGTAGCCTGACACATGCCAGCAAGCCCTGTGTCTTCAAGCTACAGTCCTATAGATTTGGATCCCCCTGTAGCACCTGCATCCCCATGTCCCCCATCAGCGTCCCATGTCACCTAATCTGTATCCCTAAGTCCTGTGTAGTTAGAGAAGGGTTCGATGCCACAGTGGAGTGGGAGGCAGCCGTGGAGAGGCCCTGAAGCAGCCTGTGATAGCTGGAGGCTGTAAGACAGTCAGTGGGAGCTTCTCACCATCTCTGAGCCCCGGCTGTGTTATCAAGATGCAGAACGGGGACTGTGCAAAGGTTTGGAGGAAGGCTGGGTGAGCTAGCCAAGGAGGGTGGGGTGAGGAGAGCCAGGGCTGCTGACCATAAGTAGCCGTAGGACCTGGCCCATTTCCCGAAGCTTCTGGAAGCTGCTGTGACAGTGGCGGCTCAGGGGTGTCCTGCCGATCTGCGGTCAATCTGTGGCTTGGCTGCAGATCCCAGTCTGCAGGGTCTCTCAGAGTAGGGCCTCCCTGCACAAGACCTGCGGCCTCTCTGCGGGGCGTGGTGACAGGCACGTGCCGGGCCCCTGGGCTGATGGCAGGAGCCCCCTGATGCACCTCCGAGGCCTGCACTGGCTGCTGCGGAGCTGAAAGGGCGGATCCAGGTGGGGGTGGGGGGGCGGCAGGAAGGCTTGGGGAGCGGGATGGAGGCCGATCCTGTGTGTTGGAGATGCAGTTCCTCCCGCTGCTCCGCCCCCTCTGCCTCTCCAGCTCCTCTTCCTTGTCTGCCTTTCTCCCCTCTGACTCCTAGTAAAATATTAAAATTTCAATGTAATATTAAGGAAAACATTAAATATTAAATGTCTCCTTTTAAAAATATTAAAAGACTCAGCGGGATCCAGCTCCCCACAGCCTTAGACCACTTTCTCCCTTCCCAAGGTGACATGGGACTCTTTAGACACATTCAACCTTTTGGCTTTGTGGCAGGACATGATGGTCTACAAAACTCACAGTCATGGACCTGGAAATCTCAAGTTTAAAATAAAAATTAGGGGACAGGCATGGATGGGTCTTTAATCCCAGCACTCAGGAGGCAGGGTCGGGCCGATCCCTACAAACTCAAGGCCAGCCTGGGCTATAGACATAATTTCAGGACAGCCAGGGCTACCCAGAAAACCTTGTCTTGAAAAAGACGAAAATGCTCACCACAAATGGGATTCTTCTGTCCGTACTGTGTACTTCACTCTCCAGTTCAATCCTGGGCTGTGTCAGCAAGTTTCCGAGATGTTACACTGTGACAAACATCCCCATGGTATCATGATGGTCTTCATCATGTCACATAGGGGTCTAGACAGGCTCACCTAGGCTGTCCACTGTGGTTTTTATTGTATTTATGTATGTTTGTGTCTTTCAGTACAAGCACATGCCATGTGTTGAGAACTTGCAGGAGTTTTTTCCTCTGTAGGTTCTGGGGAGCAAACTGAGGTCATCAAACTTGAAAGTAAAGCCACCTTTACCTGCTGAGGCCCTCACTGGCCTGTTTTTGTATGGTTGAGTGAGGTCTTGCTCTGTAGCCCAGGCTGTCCTGGAACCTGCCACCTTTCTACTTTGGCCTCCTAAGTGCAGGGCCAACAGATATGCTCACCACAACGCTCTGTGGCAGGGCTGGGGTGTCCACACTCAAGACTAGCCCAGCAAGGGTGGGACACTTTCCTGAAGTTACACAGTGTTACACAGGCTTTATCTCCCATGGCCTGTCACCTGCAGGGGAGGTGGTTGTTCTGAGGAAGGCTGTGGACAAGTCTTGCTATCTTAGGGGAAGGTTGGCTGCACTTACTTAATTTCTTCCTTGGTTTCTGGGAGTGCTAGGCAGGGCTGGCTGGCTGCAAGTCTTGTTTTCTCTACTGAGGAACAGGGAGCCTGACTCTGGCCTTGGGTCACATCTTCAGGGAGTTGTACTCCCTGCTGGACTCCCCAAACTTAAGAGTGGGGTGATTGTCCCTGAGGGTTGTGGCCGTAAGGTCCAACCCAGCCGAAAACTTTTGTACCTGTGCCCCACGAGCCGGAGGCTACAAGGCCAGGCCAGATGACAGGGCCAGACTACGAGGGACACAAGTCACTTCCTAATTCCTAGTTGTGTCACTGGAGCACAGAGCCCTGCCCTGGCCCCAGCTGCTTCTCTCTGTGGTAGACGCTTTAGGGAGCCACCTCAGCCTGAGGAACCTCAGGCCCAGGGGTCCTCGCTAGCCAGTCCTCTTCTCAGGCCCTCCTGGGCACAGAGAAAAGGCACTGGTCAGAGCTGAGGGGACGACATATGGAGGAAGGCTAGGTCATGGCCAGTCCTAGGAGGTGTGGTAGCCTTCTTGCCACAGCCCATCGGGTGAGGCCAGCTGGGCTGCAGGACCTCATATGCCCAGGTTTCTATCCCTGCGCTAGTTTCCGGCTGTGCTGTGCTCTGCCCTGGACCACAGTGTCTGAGCAAGGTCTCCACTTGGCCCTGGCTTTTTCAAAGATCAAAGTGATGGAGGAGAAGGGGTTGGGGAGGGGGACCAGGATGCTCATGTGGGCAATTTTATTAAAAAATAAAAGAAAACAAGAACAAAAGACTATCAAACAGAAGTTCACCCCCTAGAAGGAAGGTCCCTGGGCCAGGCCACCCGCCATTGCTGCTAAGTGTCCTGCTGCTGCACGAAAGGGTTGGGAATGGCTTCCATGCCGTCCTGCGGGCAGATGAGCACCACCGAGGTGCCACGGCACACCACAAGCCCCAGCTGCCGAGTGTCCTCTGTCAGCTTGTACTGGTCGTCAGGGTCTGGGGGGATGACAGACAAGAGGAATTAAGGGCATATCCTTCCATGACCACGCATGCCACAGCCAGGACCTCAGAGGGGCCCTGAAAATCCCCCCTCAGCTCTTTCAGGGACTCCTGGACCAGCAGAGACTATACCACAGCACCATGAGGGTGGCTGAAGGAAGAGCCAGCCATCTGCAGCATGGTTCGAGAACCCTAAAGGGCCCATGCAGACCCCGTAAACACCAAGAGATATCTGTAGGGCAGCAGAAGCACTAGAGAGGGTGGACAGCAGGTGGTGCTGGTGAGCAATTAGCCATAATTGTCATGAGAGCTGGAGAGGGGTAACCTGATGGTGGGAGACCTGCTCAGGGCATTACAGGACGGGCCTGTTTTCACAAAGCTGACAGCCCGTGAGCCCTGGAGCCCCTGATGCAGGCACACATTCCTGGCATCCTGAGGGCTGAGTAGACTGATCTGGTCTCAAGCTTGAGTCCCTCCTGGCATGCTTGCCACCGCCCTGGTGATCAGACACTGCAGCAGTCAACAAGAGACCTGCACCCTAAGTCACCACCTGGTGTAATCCGACCCCACAGGGCCCCAGCATCATACCTCGCATATACTCAATGGTTCCATCCAGCACCAGGTTGAGCAGTGGGTCAAACCCTTTCAGGATACCGCTGGCTTGAGGAACACAGACGGCACAGACATGGAGAAGAATGTCAGTCCACCCCCCAACACACATAGAACCTGGTGACTTCAGGGAACAGTTGCCACCACAGAACTCATGGAGAAGTGTGGTGGCCTAGTTCCTGAGACTCCAACCTTTCCTTTTCAGTACAGAAGGAGCTACACATAGTGAGTGTCAATAAAACTTTATGGCCACACAACGTGAGTTCTACATAGTTTCCATGCAATACAAAACGGATTCCTTCCTTCCTTCCTCTCTTTCTTTCTGGGTCTCATTTGCCCAAGCTGGTCTCAGACTCACTAGGCAGCCTGAGCCTCCTGGCTTTACCTCCCTGCTGTTAGAATGCCAGGCTTATACAACCATGGCAGGTTTGCATGGTGTTGGGAATACAACCCAGATGTTTACACACGCTAAACCAGCAATCTACCCACAGAGATGCAGCCCCACTCCTGGTTGATTTTTGGAGACAGCGTCTTGCGACATAACGTAAAAGTGGCAGCTTTCAATCCTCCTTCTATTGAGAAACCTTCCCGGTTCCTACTATGTCCGGGTGCTTAAACACATGGCTTCCTGTTGCCTCCTTCCACCTCCTCATGGATTCTGGCCCCTTCCTTGAGGATCTATCCATACTGGTCTGGGTGCTAACCCCACTTATATCCCTTTCCTGGGACTCCGCGTCCCCGCCCACAATTGGGGCATACCATTCAATGGTACACAACAGCCCAAGCTTAGCCCTTATTGGAATACCTGTGCTGTGTGGTTTCCCTTGCTTGCTGTGACCTCGGCCAAGCTCTTCGTTAGGGAGCCCTGCGGTACCCACTCACCTTCCCGGCCACCCTGGAACTTCACTCGGATAGTCTTATCAATGTACTTAGACAGGTCCAAGATGCTTTCTTTTTTCTTTTTCTCTTTGTCCTGCTGGAGGGTGGGGCGCTGAGGAGAGAGGTCCAGCCTTCCCACATCCCTGTTGCCTGGGTCTGGCACCCAGGGACTCCTTTCCACCCCAAGCCCCCATAACCCTGTGTGCATCTTCATCTCCAGTGCTCCCCGGTTGAATTCTACGCCCCTGAGTCTGCATTTCTGTCTGTATGCCCACGTCCTCATCTGCATCCCCGTATCCCCCACCTGCACTATTTCCTGTGAGCACCCCCATGCTGCCTGGTCTGCAACCCCATGTCCTGTGTCTACATCTTCACGTCCTATCTGCATTCCATGGCCCCTGTCAGCATCCCCAGGTCCCTCGTCTGCATCCCCATGTCTGCCGCCTGCATCCCATGTCACCTGGCCTGTACCCCCAGGTCCCTCGTTTGCAGCCCCGCGTGGCTCCCATGCCTCGGCACCCTGTCTCCCTATCTTCGGGCGTCCGTCACTCTCCTTTTAGTCTTTCTGTTCTCGCTTCCACTGTCCCTCGAGCCCGTAGCCCTGCTGTCCCCGCGATCTAGCAATGCTCACCGCCATCTTGTCGCCGCGCGTCGCTCTGCGCAGGCGCCGCCCCGCCCCTCCCTAACGAGGGGGCCTCCGCGCACGCGCAGACTCGGCGCATGCGCGTCGCGGGGCCCGAAGGCGTTGCCGGGAAACCTCCCGCCTAGAGCTGCGGTGGGACCGGCGGACATGGCGGCGGCGCGGCTGGCCGCAGCCCTGCTGCTACTCGCGGCCCAGGTGAGCGCCACGGCGGGTCGGCTCGGCCCCGCCACTCCTGACCGTGGCCGTGACCTTGCGGTTCACTCGCTCTCGCCACCGCAGACTTCCGGCGGGGCTTAGCCCGCCCTGCGCCCCGGGGCCCCAACCGCCGCCGCCGCCGTCCCTGCCAGCCTCAGTTTCCCCTTCTGCAGAATGGGGCGAGTCCCCGCGCTCCATCCCCGGAGCGCCCAGCGCTGCCCCCAAGGTGCTTGCAGCCCCGCTCCCCGGCTTCTGCCCCGTGACCTTGGGCGAAGGGGGTCTCCACCTCAGGGTGGATGCAAAAACGCCGGGGACGGGCTTCTGCTGCAGACGCCTCAGGTGTGCGCGGGACGCACCCTGCAGGAGGCTGGCTTTTGGTGTGCTTTGCTTTCTGAGTCAGGTGGCATGCTGGTCTTGAACTCACTGTTTAGTCCAGGCTAGCCTTGAACTATGTGACCCATGCTGACTTCACACTCAGTCTGCAGCTCAGGCTGGCCTCCAGCTCGCTCTGCAGTCCAGGCTGGCCCTGAACACCCTGTGAGGCTTGGATAGCCTGGAACTCAGAGCAGAACACCTGCCTCGTTACCTCACGTGCCGCATGGCAGCCCCTGGCGTGGTTCTTCCTTCTTTGCTTTGTTTTGTGGCTCCAGGCCCGGTGGGTGCGGGCGGTCGGAAGGGCGGCCTGTGCATCCCGTCGTAATCCCGTGTCACATCCGGTGTGCGTGTGGCTGTCCACTCTTCTCTCATGCACTCCGTCCGTGGGACAAGGGCCCGGATCCTTTATAAACAGACTTTTTCTTTTCCTTTTTGAGATTACAGACCTTTGTGACAGGGTCTCCCTGTATAGCTCAGGCTGCTGGTGGGCTTGCAGCTCTGCCTCAGCCTCCGCAGGGCTGGCACAGCTGGCTGGCATGTGCCTCCTTGGTTGGCTGAGCACTGAGGCATTTCCTCACACATGTGGTTCCTGGGCTCGCCACCGTGTGGCCAGCAGCTCCCTTTGGCCGCTTTTATCTTCACACCCTGCTCTTGGCTGGGCGTGAGCTTTTGAAAGTGTGTCAGGGCCTGCTGCGTCCTGCCCGTGGTCCAGGGCTCTCCGGCACATTTAGCAGCCACTGGCCTATCTCTGGAGACTGCCCTCTGTGCAGGGGATGTCCACCAAGGCTGTTCTGGTTTCTCCTTGTCTTTGTTTCTTCTGATGGAGATCTTCCTCTGGCCGTGCAGTCTCTCTTGGCGGGGCCTGCCCTGGGGCTAGCCCTTGTCTTTTTTTTGCTGGTCTGATGGAGGGTTTTTCAGGGACAGTGACAATGACAGGTTCTGAAGGATGAATAGGAGTTTGCCGGGGGTAGGAGAGGAAAGGTGGTGTGGGCGTCAGGTGCTAGCCCAAGGTGTGAGAGGGAGAGAGAGGTGGTGTTTTCCTGGGGATGAGCTGATTTCAGTTTGCATGTGGGGTGTGTTCCTCTTGGGGAAGCTGTTTCCACAAAAAGATGAGACTCCAGTTTGTACTGAGGGACAGAGGCAATGGGGGCAAAGAGTGAGCCTGGCGGGACAGTGACACCATGTGCTTGCGGACTGTACCAGGCAGGTGATGGGTGTCGCCTGGACTTTATCCTGCATGGGTGTAGCTGTATCTAATTTTCCCATATCTGGTGGGGAGCAGGCAAGGTGCCATTCTTGGCGAGGTCACAGCCTGGTCCCGGTGCCTAAGAGTGAACTAACTCTGAGTAAGCGCTAGCCTGGTGGCAGTTCTGGACCCCGTGGCTTTTTGTGATGCTGGCTCAGAGACTTGATCCCAAGGTGTATCTCTCTCTCCCAGGAAGTGTGTGAGTGGGTCTGGGTGGCACTGTGCAGGCCTCTGTTCCCGAGGGTCCCCACCTTCCTTCCCAGGCTGCCCCCATCCTGTTCCTGGCCATGCTGCCTTGGATTCCCGGCCCTTTGAGGTGGTATTGGGGGCCGTGTTAAGTCAGCATGCTGACAGGGCTTCTGGTCTCCAGGTCTTCCAGGTACAACCAGGACACGGTGCCTTGGGACTGGCTCTTGGAAGAGCCTGACCTGTTATTGTGCTGTCCCCTTGGTGATGGAGTAGAAAGGCTGCCATGTGCACTGTGGGGTGGGTGACCATTGAATGCCCCTTTGTGTGGTCAGTGACGGCAGTGAAGAGAGGCAGTTGTACACAGTTCCGTTTTACACAAAAGCCACTTTTCACAGAGAGCCCCTCCTGAGTCCACAGTGCACTGCTGTACTCTGATAAGGGGTGCTCTGCTCTGCAGGCCCCTGTCAGGGCTGCTCTGCTGCTAGGTGGGGGAGGAACCATGGTCAAAGGAATGAACTTATTTGTGTGCCGATAAAACTTTATAAACACAGAAGGCAGGCGAGTTTGGGATGTGAACTCTGGTCTCTCTGTGGCCTCCAAATCCCTTGTGGAAGGAACTTTGTGGGAGGCTGGTGGGCGTCTAGAGCCACACTGAGGGTGCTTAGAGGTGGGCTCTGATTCTTCCCGGAGTGGAGGGAGGTTCAGGAGGAGGCCACAGTGGGAGAGTGGCTCTTAGACCAGCTGCTCTGAGCCCTGTGGTCTCAGTTGTCCTCTGCCCCTTCCTTTCCCTGAACTGGTGATAGCCTCAGCTCAGGGCTTTCCTGGGGCACACCCAGCCTCCTGGAGAGGCAGACAGGGATAATATCTTGGGGACAGTTGGTGCCAGGGGCTCAGCTCTCTTTGGAGAGGAGTAGAGCCAGCGTTGGGTTCCTGCAGGAGAAACTTGAAAATAAGGTCCTCAGCTGCTTGCACTGTGTGTGGTCAGAGTCTCCAGTGAGGACTGGGGCCACCTGGGCCTCAGGGCCTCCTGCAGGCTGATCTCTACCCACAAAAGCTTGCAAGCCAGGTGCGTGTGAAAAACCCAGGTATTCTGGCGGGGACCCTGCCACCTGCTAGCTGCAGGTTGGTGTCCCTCAGTGTCTCAGGCCAGTGCTCCCGTGCTCCCTGCCTGTTTGTACAGCAGGTCCTCAGGTGACACCCAGTCTCGGCCTGAGGGGTTTGCAGCCAGGAGCGAGCTCTGAGAGCCCTGGTTTCGAGTGACTTCTGGGGAGATGTAAACAAAATCTGTTTGCCCCAGATAGGTCACCCACACAACAGAAGTGACTCCACCCAGGTGGAGCTCAGGAGAGCAGTGCGCTTGGGGTGTCCTTACAGGAACATGGGTGGCTGTCCCTGGAGAGCAGGCAGCACAGGTCCTGGGTGTGCATGCCCAGGGCTCCCGACAGGCTGGGCGGGCAGCCTCTGTGACCACAACAACAGGCCTTTCTGAATTTAGGAGAGTTATGGTAGAGGCCTGAGACTTAGCTATGGAGCCCCTCCTAGTCCTTCCTCCATGGGCCCTGCCCTGAGCTCTGGGAGCCTGGTGTGTAGATACAGTTTTCTCTGGTGAGCGGCGACCATGGGATCCCTGTCCCCAGCAATAGTGAGCTCTCCTCAGGAGCTTGGCTTGTTTACTCTGTGACTGGCCAGGCTGACAGTAGCCATGATAGAAAACACAGCTGCGCGGAAGGTATCTTGACAGGCACATCCCAGACATTCCTCAAAACTATAGTGGTGTGGGGAGGGCGTCACCTTGTTGGTAGAATGTTTATCTAGCACAGCTGCAGCCCTGGATTCCATAGCTGCCCTCAGAGAACCAGGCACACCCCTGTCATCCCAGCACTCGAGGTGGGTATGACAAGATCAGCTGAGGGTCATTCTCAGCTACAGAGTCAGATGCCAGCCTGGGCTACATGAGACCCTGCCAACGATGGTGCCAGCCTGGGCTACATGAGACCCTGCCAACGATGGCGGCTACATTCCTGCTGTAGACTGTGACCTTCCCAGCCCAAAGCCTTTGCCCTGCTTGACGGCACCGCCTGCGAGCTGTGACTCAGGCCTTAGAGCTGACCGGATGCAAGTGCTCCAGCGGGCGCTTCCCCCATGGCGTGGGCCCTCGGCCTAGCAGGTTGTTGGTTAAGTTACTCTAGCAGCTCGCCGGGAGCGGGTTGTCTGCTCGGTCCAGCCTGATCTCTGGTCTTCAGTATCAGGGACCTGCTATGCTGTGACACTTCATGGCGTTTTTACAAACCTGTGGGACTCTGTAAGACTCTCAAGGATTAGCATTGTGTAATGAAAGTTCAATTTTAAGAAATCATTTTGTTTGAGTCTGTGTGTATTTGTATGCATAAGGAGGTCAGAGGACAATGTGTGGGGGTCTCTTCTACCCTGTGGGACTCCGGTCCTCAGGTGGCCTTTGCCTCCTGGGCTACCTCAAGGCTCTGTACTGAAAACCTTGTGGAGGCTGGACAGTAAGGACCGATTGGCCTTAAGTGGTTACCAAGGATACCAGAAAGAACAGGCTGCCCCTTTGCAAGTACAGCCCTGGAGTAGTACTTCCCCTCAGCAGGGACAGGCCAGTGCAGCAGCGTGGAGGGACACATGCCTCTCTGGTTTCTTCTTTCTGGGTACTGCTGCTGTGGGGCTGAGCTCTGGCCACCCAGGGCCCAGGGTGGAACTCCCTGTGCAGACCAGGCTGGCCTCTAACTGACAAGCCTCTTCCTGAGTGCTGGCATTAAGCCACTGTGCCTAGCTTGTCACTCCACTAAGGGTGGATCTGGGGTTGTCAGTCACCTTGTTAGCACTGGTCTAACTCACTCTCCCAGCTGCTAGAGCTAGCCTGCACCTCCATATCTGCCTCCCTCTTCCCCAGTTTCTGCCAGATCAGAGGCCTACAAGAAGGCTTAGCCTTACTCAGGGCATAGGCTCCTGGGCAGACTGCTGAGCCTTGCCTGTGTCTTATGGGTTGTACATGTCCCT